ACCCGGATAGTAAATATACTTAAAATTTTTTTTTGAAGTTTTGTAAAATTTGACCCGGCCGGGTTATGAGAACCGATTTATTAAGTTTGTATGGCCTAATATAAATTATTTTTAAATTGCACTATCTCAATTATATGTAGCATCTTTAATTAAACTGCTAATATTAGTGAGTATATTAGGCTATATAATATAAATAAAAGAAATTTCTATATATAATATTTGCGCAAATACAAATAAAGAAAAATGATTAATAGATGTTAATAAAGAAATAGCATATTTAGAAATTTTAAATATAGCTGATGATGATAATAATAACATAGAAGAGATAATTGTTGATAATAAGAATGAATTCTTTTATAATTTATTTGACCTTGAAGACATTATTGTTAACTATTTTACAAATAATGAAGAAGTGTATTTTTTTAGAATTTTTAAATTAGTAAGTGAATTAGTTAATGATATATTAGACAATAATAATAAAATAACAAAATATTACAATATAGCTTTACTATTTCTTTTACTTATTGAAGAAGAATTTCACTATTACCAAGAAATATACAAGATTTATCTTCATAAGAAAAATAATTAATTTAGTAGCAAATTAACTGTATATTTTAATTATATACAAAAAAAAATGAAAGTATAAAAATTAGATAATCAACTAACTAAATAAGTAAGTAAAACAAAACAAGCAATAGATTAATATTCTTGTAATAGGAATATTAAACTTATTATTAATATTAATAAGAGTATAGCAAATATAGACATTAAACATCTAGTAGCTTATAAATATTCTACTTATTAAGAAAACTTTAAAGTGCTATAACTTGGATATCCAGAAATGTAAATTGATGTCTTCAAAAAATTAAATTTTATAGAAAACTCTTATAAAAAGTTTATTGACTCAAAAAAATATACTTACTATCAGGTGTATTATTAGGTTACAAAATTTACAAAACAATTATATATTATAAATTTATTAAATTAACTTTTTTTAGCTCATAATTTTTTAGAACAAAATAAGCCAATTGATTAAGAATACAATGTTGTTTTTTATTTTAAAAATGAATTTGTTTGATCACTAAAATTTATATACTATTCTTTCATTAAACATTAAATAATATCAGTAAAATTCTTATTGATACAACATTTAAAACTAATTAAGAAAAATTTAAACTTTTTTCTGTTATAAATAACCATAGTAGATATGGTGCTTCACTTGCATATCTATATATTTATACTTCTGAAATATCAAAAGAAAATCATCAAAATTTAAATAATAATATTAGTATACAAATAAAAGTATTAAAAGAATTTTTTTTATACTAAAAGTTGTTAGAATCCTATTTGCTTTTATTTTTCTAGACAAAAATTTTGGTAAAATATCAACTGTAAAAAAGGTTTAGAAGAAATAGCAAGTATTTAAATTTGTTTATAGTATATAGAACATAGCATTAAATGAAAATGAAAAGAAAAAAAACAGAATAAGCCAATATATATTACAAGTAGCTGTTAATGCAAAAAGTATTTTTGAGTTTATTGATGAATCTTAGATATCTAATAGACAAAAAAATATTTTATGTTCTGAAGAAAATATTAATAAGATCTTAAAAATAATTAAAAACTTTTTTTTTTTTTAGTATTAAGGTGAGGCCTTGTTTATATCTTTATTAATAATTTTATTGGGTAATAGTAACCACAGATTAAATAATCAACTAGTGTATTGTTATTATAATTTGTAAAAATACAAATAAAAACAAAACTATACTGCAAAAATAAAAACTCAAACTAATTTATTTGCGATCTAAACCTACTAGAGTGGTTAAAGCTCACCTAGATTATAATAAAGGAAATAAGATTAAATGAAGTACTGTATTTAGCCCAATGAGCTGATTAGAAATCATATTTTCTTCTAGCCTGACCGACAAATAGATAGTTATTAGAGTGGGTGTATAGTTGATTTGGTTTTCTATATATACAAAAATAAATATATATTGAATGAGTGTATTGAGTTGTAAAAGTTAATTATAATGAGCTTGATGAACCAGGTTGTTATTCAGAACTAGAGGGATCAGATTGTATTAGAGAGCTTGAGTTATTTAAGTATGAGTAGTTAAGTTTATTTAATTTTTTCCAGTTAGAGAAGTTTAAGCAGTATAATTTTCATATTTGCTCATATTTAAAAGATATATTTTACTTTATTATTTTATTCTAATTAATCAAAAAATATTCTTTACCTTAACAGAAATTTATAAATTAAGTATAAAAAAGATATAAAAATAAGAATCTTGTTTGTTTGTAGGGGTACCTTTGGATTAATTAGTACTAAAAAGTTATTAAGATCTTTTTATCTAAGCCTTCTATTCTAAAGTATTGCTATTAGCAAGAACTATAATGCTAGTTAAATCACATTAGTGTATTATAAAACATAACTATAAATATAATTACAATCAGCCTTATTTGATTTACTTAACACAAATATTAACAAATAAATTATAATAATTCTTGATAAAATAAATAATTGTTATAAATTTAATAATAATCATGCTTTTTTATTATAGTAGAGAGTATTCAAGAATAAATAGGAAACTTCTTTAGAAAAAGAAATTAATTTAGAAAAAATTATTATACAGATATAAATCAGTAGATTTGTTCATACTCTGCTTATATTAAAAGTAATTATATATTATATAAACATCTTATAAGAAGTTAGATAGTGTTACAGTGGTACTTAAATTATAGGACAATATTCACAGATATAGAATAGTTTATTTAGTAATAAGGTAATACAAATAAGTTATACAGGTAATACAGATAGTACAGGTAATATAGGTAATACAATTCACATTAAAAGGGGAGGCACAGATATTAGATGGCCAATCCAATATCCAAGGAAAGGTAGGAATTGTAGGGGAAATATCTGCAGGAACTAAGAGAGAAAACCTTCCTTTATATATCTGTAGAAGTGGCATACACTGGCATACATCCAAGTGGCATACACTGGCATACACCATGTAGCAGGTGGCATACACTGGTATACAACCATGTGGCAGGTGG